GAAGCCCACCCCCGAGTCTTCTGATGCAACAGGAGAAACTTGCGGTTTGTTCGCGGTAACAGTTGGACGGGCGGCTCCACTTGTTTGCGAGGTTTGGCGTGACCGCTTCATGCCAGGAGCGTGCGTGCCACGTGTGCTCGTGTCCCAGGCGGGTCGCGTAACAGTAGCCTTCATAGAATGACTGTCTTCTGAAGGGTTCACACGTGTGCGGGTGCTGGGTGTTGTCTGCGTTCGCCGGCTCATGGGGCGCATAGAATGAGAGCCGTTGTCGCCCGAAGCTAGACGAGTCCCAAACTTAGCGTTTGCAGAGGACTCCCTGCTATAGGAGGACGTGCCGCCTGGAGATACCCGACGCGTCGAACCACCGACAGCGTGTTGCTTGGGCTTGAGGACAGGTTTCTGGAGGGTAATTTTGTCTGCACCCCAGTATGAGAAGCTCATCTTGCTCTTCTTGTCCGAGTCGTCCGACTCTCCCTCGCCATCTTCGTCTTCATCAGGGAGAGGGACGATCCGAGGCTGTGCTGCCGACCGTGCTTCTGCTTTGGAGCGTACAACGCTGCAAAGCGCTCAGCAGACATCAGTGACAGAGATACAAAGTACATACTCTTCCATAGAGACAACTCCTTCCTTGGGCTGGACGACATCTCCTATCGCCCAAGTCTCGATCTATGCAAAAGTGAGAACAGGTCGAGTAGTATCGCGACGCTTTACCTTGATAAATTTGTACAGGTTCCTCGGCCTCGTATGCGAATTTCTACGCCCTGTCGAGGAATACTTTGACTTCCCCTGCATCTCCGGCAACGAATTCGTCCTGGAGTTCGTCCCCGAAACCAAAGGTAGCGACGTCGTCCCCGTGCGCTGGCACCGTAGGACAACATCATTGAATACCACCAGCCACAGATCTTTCTTGCCTCCTAAGCCCGAGCCCGTGCCCAGTACATCACTCAGCCGGCGGAATGACGTCTTGCCCTTTACACCCTTGGCATTGACAACCGGCGGCGGGCTCGACCCTGGGCCTTTTGGTGATCCTGACCCATGGACAGACCCAAGAATCTGCCGCTCCTCCAGCAGCAACCTTGACGGCTTCGGAATCGCAAGCTGCTTCACCTTGTCAAGCCCCTCAATGCGCGCAAACACATCGCGCGTTTTGTCACGGTCCTCCTTCTGGATCTTCTCATCCTCGATGCTGCGTACGATCGTCTCGACTTCCGCGACCATCTGCAGAGTACTCTCATACTCGAACGTACTCGGATCTGTGTGGAAGAGTAGGTTTTGGAAAAGTAGAGGGTACTTGAGGAGGCGCTGGAAGGGCTTCGAGAGGGTGATAGCAAGCCCCGTCTCGCCTTTATCGGCCGCAAGCTCCTCCAGCCGCTGTAGGGACTTGCAAACCTTAAGCCATTCGGCGGCATCTTGGTTCTTGGGCTTCTTGGCAGCGCTTGCGGTGCTCAAAGCGTTATCCACCTGCTCAAGAGCACGCTCGAGATGCAGAACGTATGTTGCGTAGCCTTGGAAGATATGAGACTAGTGGTGCATGAGCATATTGCGTCGAGAAGGAACTGTCATACTCACACTTGAGACAAATACATCCGCAAGGGAACGGACAAGAGGGTATTGCTCCTCGTATCGCTTTAACAGGCCTTCGCTGAGCTTAACGTGCCCATCGAGCACGCCACTTTCGATGACCTCGAGGCATATACGCAGATCCTCGGGCAGGAGGTGCGGAGGGACGGCACTCTGGAAGGGACTATGGGACTGCGTTGTCGAGCGCTTGAGCTTGCGCAGCACCCGGGTACCTTGTGTAGGAGTGGTCTTGGCACTGTCTTTGCGCTCCCGCTCCCTGTCCTTATCTCCTAGTGACTGTGAAGATGAGGCAGCGAGCTTACGCTGAGGTGCAGGAAGGGATGCGTGCGAACGTGAAGGGAAGGGTAAGACATCGCGTATTTTGGTTATCCCTTTGCCACCGCTGCCTCCCCCGTGATACGGCGAGCGAGGGTGGTTCGGATTGGCGCGATTAGTCTGCATGCCCTCGCCTAATGTGTCCTCACCATCCTCATCACTTTCGTCATCGATCTGAGGTGTCGTTGTAGCGAGGCTGCGACCATCCGCGGGCTTGGAGGCTCCATCAGTACGGAAGCCAAGAGGGCTCATGAAGCGTGCAGCGATGGGTAAGACATCGATCGATTCCTGCGGAGACTCAACCCGGTAGTCATCATACTCATTGAACGGAGTCGGTATAGGGCTGACAGGCGGGGGCGTGGCATATGGGTGGAGAAGCGGCTCTATGAAGGACTCTTTCATTTTTGTGAGGTCATTTACGTATCTGTGGCAAACGCAAACGATCGCATCAAGATCAGTGGATCAGGGCGTGGGGGAGGAGGGGCAGCGCACCGCTCTTCAGACGCCACAATCTCCCAGAGGACTTCTTGCCGCGTACGTTCACGAGGACCAAGGTTGCTCACAAGGTCTTCTTCTGCAGCCTCGCTCCATGAGGTGACGGCGAGAATGCGGCTGCTGGCATTCGACATTTGAGAATAGGGCGTGGCGGAGCGCATTGAGCCTGGGTAAGGGGAGATTGCTGTGCGTGTACTCGTGGCTTTGGCAGTATTGGTAGATGAGGCAGGTGCTACGGTGGTAGATGCCGTTGGTGTGGAGGTGGTGGTGGTGGTGGTGGTGGTAGACTTGATAGCGAGGTCTGTGCGTGAACTCGAGGCAGCTGTGGAGATAGAGCCACGCGTGTCCTTGCCATGTGTTGCCTGAAAACGCGACACGGTGGTTTTGAGCGGGGCGCCCGAGGGCGTCTGGACGATTGGAGAGGGGCTGAGCACCGATGCGTCCGGGAGTTGGGAACTAAGAGCCGAGGGTGTCGGAGGGGGGGAAAGGAAAGCAACCTTTTTCTGAACGTCGGAGGATGTGCCCGTAGTAGTGGTACTACCATTTGCCTTGCGACGGGTGGGAGGGTCTGGAGGGAGGCCAACTCCACTGTCGTCGTCATGGGGTTCCTCAATGGGAGGTAATGGACGTGCACAGATGTCTGGAAGGGGTTTATGGGATGAAATGGAGGTAGGAGTTCCTGCACTGGTATTGACTGTGCCTGCACTATTGGAACGTTGGATTTGGATCAAGCTGGGAGAAGTGACATGTCTACTACTAGCGTCGGTGGGCGGTCTACTGACAGGCTCAATAGAGAGCCTGTTGTCGGATTGTAAATGCGGAGGAGGCCACCCTGGGAGTGGGGGAAGCTGGACGAGCTCACGCTTTTCTCGGTTTGGGGGTGAGTGGGAGTTGGTGGAGGAGTTGTCACTACGGTCCTTGGTGAGGACGGAAGCACTGTCCCGGTCTTTTTCTTTGTCTTTGTCTTTTTCTTTATCCCTGTCTCTGTCCTTTGATGACAGGCCTCTGTTGAGCCTGTTCAAGAATGCTTTCATAGCCCAGACGTGGGTGCCAACGAAAGATAGTGACTATTAGGGTAGAACAAAATGGAGTAAGGCGAGGAGTGAAAGGTGATTACAAGCAAGCGACAGTTTAGAGCAGCAGGAACTGATGATAGTAGGTGAAGCTGAAGCGCTGATCGGGTTGATCACGGCCGTTGTCCCTCCTCATGTTAGACACATGTATGTAATCCTTTCATAGCACAAACAACGCAACCCTTTACATACAACAACACAAAACTAAACCACTTCTCGGGTACTTCCTACCTCTTTCATCTTTAGCCTCGTGTTCAACAAACGATCAGATCAATTGGTAGAGCTGGCATTCGTATGACCTCCTATCGATCACTCCCTCAGTGAACACGGTCGCTTCTCATGCTTCGTGGATGACAGCAGCAATACCGAATTCAAATTCCTACATGGTCACCAGCCGCGGCGAGCGACGTATGGCGAAACTCGCTGTCGGAATCAAGGCAGAATCCTCCCGCGGTCGCGATACCCCCTTCCCGATCCTCCGACATACTACGATCCGCCAATTATCCAACAAACCAACCTTAGTGCCGCTCGGTTTCCCGCCCGCATTAGCATTGACAATATAGGGTCAAACGATCGTGTCTTCAAACAAGTCACTTTGCCGGAGTGGTTAACGGGATCGCCTGCTATACAGCTAAGCGGTTGGGCTTTGCCCGCGAGTGTTCGAATCGCTCAGGTGACGCTTTTTTGTGCCAATTTCCATACAAGAGAGTTGAATGCATCCCGTTGCATGAATCCCTGAGGTTCCATGCTACATGATGGATTTCATTTCCCTTCAGTAAAAATTTCTTTTATACTCGAAATGTCGCAAACCCAGTCAGCCAAAGGATCGGTATGCCAACATCATCCAACCTGGAAAAAAAACACAGGGAGTATTTATGCATTGTGTAAGAATGTTGCTAAAGTTCTTGAAGCAGCAGGTTCAGGCCATTCAGGCAATGTTTAGTCTTGACTGTCAAGATCTAACAGCGCTCATTTCAATACAACAATGATGGTCACATCAAATGGTTGATATGTTCATATACACAGCATGGCAGAATTGAGAAAATGGCTATGTATGCGCTTGCACGTGGTGCTTGGTTCCTGCTACCGACACCGCAGTTGCAGCTTTTGACAGACAGAAGTTCAGAAACCAATCATTAAGATGTAGTGCAAGGCAAGATTCATGTGCAGTCATCACCGCAGCATTTCTCAGAATTGAAGGAGAACATGATATGATGAGTGTGATGAAGGCCATGTCAGTCGCATGAACTCAGTTCAGGCAACCCACTAGGTGTGTGAGGTAGTTGTTGATTGGTGGAGGAAAAGGCGGTGAAATAGGGGCTACTTTTTAAATTATAATATTACTCACAATTGAAGCCATATAGACAGGTCGGTACAAGCCGAAAGCCGAAGGAACCCAAGTAATATCTGTGGCACACGAACGTCTCCATCATTAATCCCAGGGATGTCAACGCTCACAGCCCTGGCATCGGAAAGTCGAACAGCCTCGAAACCTTGTAATTACTTATGAAACCTTAAATACTGCTGAATTCCATGTGCCCCATGGCTGAGTTGGTTACAGCGTCCGACTGTTATTCAAGCATCTGGCATCGGAAGGTCGTGAGTTCGAGCCTCACTGGGGCAGATATTTTTTGCACTCTGAAGTTTTTCCAAATAGCCGGAAACAGAACGCATTGTAAATTTAGTCGACCATCTTTTGACCACCTTCCGTTCATGTACAGTTCTGTCTTCAAGTATGTCCAATCGCTTCTATTCGACCAGCGATATTTCTGGATTATTGCATCTCTCGTTATTCTTGGAGATGCCATCCTCACTCAACTTATAATCCGGTTCGTTCCCTGTTAGCGCATTTTACTAGCTTGCATATGCCATGACCAACGTATCAGGCAGATACAGAAATCGACTGGGAAACATACATGGTCCATATTGACCTTTACCTGAAAGGAGAGCGCAACTATGTCAATATCACAGGGCCAACCGGTCCTTTAGTGTAAGCGAGCTTGCAGTGAATAGAAGTATACCGCACTTACGAAACTAGTTATCCAGCTGGACATGTTCATATTCATCACCTTCTTCATCGTATCACAGATGCCGGTCGCAATGTTGCGCTGACCCAACAGATTTATGGCGGCTTATACGTACTATCCGTCGCCCTCGTATGCGCGATATATAAGAAAGCGAACGTTCCAAATTGGACACTTCTGTTGCTACCACTCAGCAAGAGGCTGCATTCTATCTTCGTTCTCCGCCTGTTTAATGACTGCTGGTCTCTCATCTTCATGCAAGCAGCGATCCTCGCCTTCCAGAGCGCTTGGGATGACATGGGCCTCTTGTTATTCAGGTGAGCACCACACCTTTTTCATCACCGTTGAAAGTCCATAACTTTACATATAGTCTCGCACTCTCCGTAAAAATGTCGGCAATGTTATATCTGCCAGGTCTACTCGTCATTCTCTTCAAACGGCACGGCTTCGTTGCGACCATCCGGCACATGCTTGTCTTGGCATGCACTCAGATTGTGTTTGCGCGCTCTTTCCTTGCCGCAGATGCAAAGTCCTACCTGCAGAATGCATTTGATTTATCACGCGTTTTCCTTTACAAGTGGACCGTGAACTGGCGTTTTGTCGATGAACGTACATTTTTGAGTTCCTCATGGGCGAAAGGCCTACTTCTGGGTCACGTCACGGTGTTGATTGCTTTTGGATTATTCCGATGGTGTCGTGGTGACGGTGGTGTAGCTAGGGTTCTGCTCAGAGGCCTCCGGCGACCCTCTCTACCTGTTGGTTTGGCGCCTGTAGGTCCCGATTGTGAGTCATTCTGGAGTTTCCTCAATCTTTGTCTGCTGACCTGTGCACCAGACGTTGCCACTGTGCTCATGACGTCCAATCTCATCGGAATCATCTTTGCACGATCGCTGCACTACCAATTCTACTCGTGGTATTCGCAACAATTACCTCTCCTTACTCAAAGAACGAGGTTTCCTTTTATCTTGCAGTGAGTCTCTTCGTGCAGGAATAAGTATTTACGTTCTGATGTGTGCAAAGAATGGCACTCATAGGCGCAGTCGAATATGCCTGGAATGTTTATCCATCCACACCACTTTCATCTGGCCTTCTCGTTGCAGCAAATTCATTGATGCTACTCGGGATTTGGTTTGGATACCCGGAAGGGAGGTTGTCTGGCAAACAACGAAATTCAAACGACGATTGCAGTCCAATCTCAAAAAAAGAATTATCTGTGAAGTGATAGCAGTACATCATTCGTTTTCGCCTCCCATACCCACGATATATGTACTTCTGCCACCTCTGGGCAAAATCAAAACCTTCTCAGCCCCATGGACCTGACAAGCGTCAGCACTTGGCACCGTAGATCCCATCGAGGCTTGCGTTGATATTGGCAGTGGCCGGACGTCGACCTTGGGTAAGGTAATTTCGCCGTGGTGCAGAGCTATCAAGGTCAAGGGAACAGCGAATGAACCACCGTCCTAGAAGTCATTTAAATCGACCGTGAGAATGAGCTCACACCAGCCAGTGGGACTTACGGTTGCGACGAAGTCTCCACGCTTTCGTCCACACAAAAGCCAATCCTTGACACGCTCTTCGACATCGTATCGCATCTTATAGGAACGTTGTTTACCCTCTTTCTCGGCCCAATGAAAAGAGGTCTTTAAGATGAGGGTCGCAGGGATTGGTTGGCCTGCATAAATTGGCGGTAGTTGGTCTGACCGTACATCGCTTGGAAGTGGAGAGGGTTGGACGGTGATTTGTGCTGCGGTCACGATCTATTGCAGACGAACCATGTTAATTCGGGTGTGTATTGTGGGCAACTGGGTAACACCAACATTCATCCTTGGGACGTCAACTGGTATCTTGATCTCTCTCCAAGGGCAGGGTGATGCAGTCTCCGGGCGACATTGCGCCAATGCCTAAAGGTAACGTGCGGTGAGCAAGACCAACAGAACCAGAAAATCTAAAAACGAACCTCCCGAACAGGTCCCTGAAAATCCCCGTCATCTTCAAAGGAACGAGGCAAGATAATTTCACCAGTAGCCCTGTATGTTTCTACCCATTCAGCGTTACTCTCCAGGTGTGCGACCAGTTTGTCGATAAGCGTGCGTCGTAGTGAGCAATACTGGAGCTTCTCGACCGACATACTTGACAAAGCAGCTTCCACCGTTTGGCGAATTAATGCCTCGACCTCTAAATAACTAGTTGCAGTCAAGGCAACCCTGGATGAGAGAGAATCCTCACCGTCACGTAGTATGCGGTATTTGATGACGAGGTTCAGTGGTTCCAGAACTGTGTTTCTCTTAGCACTCGACAAGCACGCTGACTAGCAACGTACCAGGTCCATTTGAAGACTCTATGGAGAACAAGAAGTTCACGGCATGTTCTGGCGTAACGGTCTATGTGGAATCTAGTTTCCCCAGCAAACAACAAAAATATAAGATCCTACCACAACAGGACGGCTCGGACGACAGCCTGATATCTTCACGCCATCGAGACTTCGTGAACCCTGCAGCTCCGTCGATGATATTCGAACATACTGGTGGGAAGTGGCCGAGATAGTAAACTTCGAAAACAGTCTAAAAAGGATTTCAGAACAAAGTGCAAGGTGATGTAATGATCGAACCTTTTGCCGCGGAAAAAGTCTTCTACGTTCACTGCTATGGGTAATGAGACCGTAACAACTCTTGAGGTTTGCAGGGTGCGCATCACACCCAGCGAGGATTGCGTGTTATATGTCACACTTAGTCCGATTTTCTTCAGTACAGCAGTGAATCAAAGCTCTCCTTTTGAGAGAAGACGCCTACCATTGTATGATATCTCGAAGCATCAGAGTGAGGAAGCGAAATTACAACGTCTGTGTCGACGGGAGCATCCAGAAGGACGACAGCATTGTCAGAGACCTCAAGAGTTCCCGTACCTTGTCTGCGTTCAGAAACATATCAAGAAACGGATTGAAAACACCGACCTTCGGCCTCTAAGCGTACCTCGGAGTAGTTGAATTTCACCCCGGAAGGCGGAGTTGGCTTGATAGTCGCCCTCGAGATGTCGTTCTGGCCAGTGGAAATAACAAGTAAAACGCGTGATGTCGTTCCGAGCTCGGCTTGAATCCATAACTTAGAATTATTACGGACAAAGATATCACACTACTTACTTTGCTGAGGTTGACGTGTTTGTACATCTAAAGCGCGCAAACTGCGCGGCACGCGCACCAATGAAACGGGATTCCTCTTCGAAGCAGTGGCCGTGGTACCCGTATGTTGCCATTGAAAGCGGAGATGCGACATCACCACTTCACTGCTCTCAAGAACATAGAGACCCCAAGAAGATGTCTGTAATGATGCACCGGTCAGTTCACAGTAGACCCTCGAGATGGTCACACGCACTGGGCAAGATAGAGTTACAGTCGATTGGCCAGGAGGAAGTTTATCCATCTTCGCGATGAACTTCAGACGTTCAGAATCTCGACCACACATTGTCACGCTGACTTCGTCAACCATCACATCCTGGAAACCATCAGCTCTAGAAATGATGTCTGAACACGCGAACACGTACGCATGGTAGGTGGTTTGAAATGGTAGCATCCACTAAGGCTAAGTCTTCATCATCACTACAGGTAGCATCGCCGGATACTTGAACTGCCATGATAGGATGGTCTGAGTGAATCAAGTCTGCAATTTACTTGATGATTACCAGATCGTCGGTGGGTTTAACCAGTACACACCTGAGTCCAAACTCGTCGCAGCAGTGTGAAGTGCTCTAATAAGCATCGTAACACCCTTCTCCCCATCCTCTTCCGATACTATCTCTTTGTTCACGTCATTTGTGCATGCCCTTAGAAATGCAAGCAAGATATGTATCCACTCTCGGTCTTGTGGCTTCTCCAGCTCGGCATGTATGTTGATTGCACGAGAGAGCACGAAGGACTCTAGTGATGTCCACATATGAGGTGCATAGTGAGCAGGTAGGGATGTAAAAATTGCCAGGGCACTCTCTAGGCGTCCTCGATGACTGTCCCAATGAGAAAGCGGATCATATCTCAAAAACTGTGCTTACATGTCCAGAGCAGCAAGGAATCCATGCAGCTTTAGCGCGAATTTGCGACGGCCAGCCTTCACATACATGTCGATGGCACGATTTGAAGTTGCGCAATACAAGTCATAAAAAGCCTCCTTGTCCCCAATAGCTAGTATGACCTCGTTATTACTTATCCGCTGCGTCGATGAGGCTTCACTGCTTTGTTTTGAATGCAGGACAGGTGTTTCTTCCATGCATATGGATGCAAAGGGAGGCTTTTTTGGCAAATGACCTACTTTGATACCAATGGTATCGAGCTGCAAATAAAAAATCAGGATATGACGAGAATCTCAACGCTGACCTCTGACCTGAGTCTTGGCCAACTCAAGAAGTTCACCTTTACTCGCACTGAACCGTGCGAGTTGGATGCCATCCAGGTTTGTCGGAGGAGCCCACGTATCACATTGATCAACAACGCTGAGAGCAGAAGAAAATATCCATGACTCAATGAAATATTCTGGTAATGTGGCCTATAGAGGGCATGAGTTACTACGATACAGAATAACATGATGCGACCCCTGACCTCTACCTCTCTCAATCG